GAATCATATTTTTAAATAAATAATTATATTTATGCTCAACTTTTGTATCGAGCACTATTTTTTTAAATATAATAACAAATTAATAACAAAAATACTAAAGAATTTTGGATTATTTACCTAATGAGTTCTTTTTCTATTTTCTATATATTTTTACACACACACACACACACACACATATATATATATATATATATATATATATATATATATATATATATATATATATGTGTGTGTGTGTGTGTGTGTGTGTGTGTGTTTTGGAGACAGACTTAAAGATATATATTATTTGTTAATGTATGTTTTAATAAAATATGTTTTCAGATCATACCGACAAAACATTTCAAAATATAAATTTTAGAAATTGTCTTATATGTTTACAATTCCGTCGGATTTTCATTCAAATATATATATATATATATATATACACTTGTGAAAATGAATTGAAACTAAACGAATAATTATTTACTTTTTCTCGATTTTTTGCGATAAAACATGACCCAGTGCGTATGTCAATACTTCGTATGTCCATCCCACGAAGTCGTTCCTTGCAGATTGATCACAGTATTTCGTTTGGATTTAAGACAAGAGAGTTTCCGGACCAGTCTGTAGTAATTTGATTTGCTCACAAGGCTTGCCAGTGTTTTCGTGCAGCGTTAGAATTTTCTTACGCTTCCTTGGAGTAACGTCCATCGCAGACAATGGCCGCAGGACAACTAATCGACAGTCGAGAAAATATTATATTGGCGGGATGAAAATCTGAAATTATCACGGATGGCGCAATATTTTTTAAGAACAAACAAATTTCATCATACAGCCCGAAAATAATTTTCATATTACTGCACACCTCTACAGATGACCTTATCTGAGGAAAATAAAAGAAATCGATTAGATTCTGTCACATTAGTGGGTTTAAAACTGATCGTATGGTGAAAGAAAGGAAACTAAAGGGATTATTTCAATTAATTTGAGCAAGAGCGTGTATATATAATTAAAATATATTAAAGCCTTTTGCAATATTTCTTGTAACATGCAGGACTGCGTATTACTGAGTGCATATGTATGTGTAGTTAACGTAAAACTGATTGCAGCTTTAAAACTGTAGGCAAATATCTAAATGTGGAAGCGGGTATCGGTCTGAAGTAGTAGCAACAATATCCATAAAAATGTAGAAATTAGCATTCCGCGCGTTGTAGCCATAATTCAGTTGAAGTCAGAGTGAACTTGACCACTTGAAGTTGGTTACTCATGTAATCGTCTACCATTAAAAGATTTAATAAGGCTAACCCCCTGTGAAAGACAACACCAATCCACATACGGTAAACTTGAAAAAAGGCGATAAGTTTGGGATGGTTTACCGCCTCAAACTGGCTCGATCCCGCCAGATAATCATCCATATAGAAGCCGTACATATCTGGTAAGCGGTCGCCCGCAGCTGGCACTGTTATTGCAGATATATCATGCCTTGACGTGAATTAGGCGGTCTTGGAGGTGATGGACTATTTCCTACCCTAAAATCTCTTTCTAACAGGCGAAACGTTGCTAGCCTTTTGCTGTTCTATTGCTGTTTCTATGGCAAATATTCACACTTGCTTCATTCTTTTGTTCCTCCAGTTAGGCCCTTCATAGCCAGGAACCGTCATGCGAAACAATAGACACGTCGAACAATCTCAATTCCCTATTACAATTTCGTAAGGAGAAAGTTCCACTCAGATAGATTCTTCCCAAGATATGCTTGTGGAACAGACTCCTGGAGATTTCCCGATCCCCACAGTCTTAAGCTCTTCAAGTCAAGGGTCATCCTTTATCTATATTCCCATAATATGTATTATCCTATATCTATGTGCACGTGGTCTAATTGATAGCAGCTCGCAATGAGAAATTGGAGAGCCGCGTTGATTTCGTTATATTCACTCATGTGAAAATACACGTGGCAAAAGGTATGTACGTATCTCTTATTACATCCCACCTATGCTTAACACAGTAGTATCTGGACGAATCATTGTTATCGCGGAGAAATTGTTAATTTTCTCGAACTTTTCTGACAATTACAATGTTCACAGATTTAAATGCAACATCAATCGCTATCTTCTGTCTTCCTGAATCCCCTTCTTTTATTCTCCTTTCTCCTCAGTAAAGTATTCTCATTCTTTTCAACCCCACCAATAAATATTATTTTTAAATATAAAAGGGGATACTAAGGTCAACACCGAGCGGCGACAGTATGTTTCATGTTTCAACGCAATCTTCAGGCTTTGTGTGATGTATGATTGTTCGACTATTTATATATGCTGATAATGGTGCATTATGGATAGCAATTCTATTGTGTTATCCTAACGTTTTTTTTTCATAGGCGTTAACGGCTATCTTTCTTGACTTTCTTTGTGAATACGAATGCGGATATTTGCAGCTATTTCATAAAGTTGTTTTTTTTTTTACTAATTATTTATTACTTAATTTTTTGGTGTTGTACATTACCACATTTATTTGTCTTCATAGTTTGTGAATTTGTTTATTATTTACTTTTTTCTTATATATTGTTGTTGTTGTTATTATTATTAATATTATTATTATTATTATTATTTAAATACACTCTACCATGATATGGAACATTTTAAACCAAGAACAATAAATTTTACACAACATCTTGACGAACAACGAATGCTATCTCACGCTGCGTTTGCGTCTACAATCAAAGCCCTAGGGGACGAATCTGGCTCGTCACGAGAAATCACCCGGGTTGCTTTCTCCGGAAGAAATTTTATATCTACCTGGCATACTGTATTTCTAAAACAAAGTGGCGAAATTATTATATATTAGATCTGATATACAAGCCTCACCCAAATCATTTAACTATTTAAATGATATCTGTTTATATATCTGAGATGAGGTATTGTAACTATTTACACTATTTACATGTTTCGGACTGTTGTCCTTAACATTATTGTCATATTCACGACGTGTCGGCGTTGTACGCTATAGTCTTCTTCAGGATCTGTCTATATATCTGAGATGAGGTATTGTATCTATTTACACTATTTACATGGTTCGGACTGTTGTCCTTAACTTTATTGTCATATTCACGACGTTTCGGCGTTGTACGCTATAGTCTTCTTCAGGATCTGTCTATATATCTGAGATGAGGTATTGTAACTATTTACACTATTTACATGTTTCGGACTGTTGTCCTTAACTTTATTGTCATATTCCCGACGTTTCGGCGTTGTACGCTATAGTCTTCTTCAGGATCTGTCTATATATCTGAGATGAGGTATTGTAACTATTTACACTATTTACATGTTTCGGACTGTTGTCCTTAACTTTATTGTCATATTCACGACGTTTCGGCGTTGTACGCTATAGTCTTCTTCAGGATCTGTCTATATATCTGAGATGATGTATTGTAACTATTTACACTATTTACATGTTTCGGACTGTTGTCCTTAACTTTATTGTCATATTCCCGACGTTTCGGCGTTGTACGCTATAGTCTTCTTCAGGATCTGTCTATATATCTGAGATGAGGTATTGTAACTATTTACACTATTTACATGTTTCGGACTGTTGTCCTTAACTTTATTGTCATATTCACGACGTTTCGGCGTTGTACGCTATAGTCTTCTTCAGGATCTGTCTATGCATCTGAGATGAGGTATTGTAACTATTTACACTATTTACATGTTTCGGACTGTTGTCCTTAACTTTACTGTCATATTGCCGACGTTTCGGCGTTGTACGCTATAGTCTTCTTCAGGATCTGTCTATATATCTGAGATGAGGTATTGTAACTATTTACACTATTTACATGTTTCGGACTGTTTTCCTTAATTTTATTGTCATATTCCCGACGTTTCGGCGTTGTACGCTATATTCTTCTTCAGGATCTGTCTATGTATCTGAGATGAGGTATTGTATCTATTTACACTATTTACATGGTTCGGACTGTTGTCCCCATCTTTATTGTTATACTGTCAACAGAATAAAAACTTTGGTTAAGTAATCCAAAAAGTGCCTGACCCAAAGAATTGTGAATTCATTACCTGGCTACAGAAGACAGAACAAAAACGTGGAGACATTAGTTACTAAACGAAATTAGCTGAAACTGTGATATCCAAAAAAGGCATGGGTCGTGGAATTAAAACATCTACCCTCGTAGACTAAAAAAAAAGGCTTCGTTCGAAATTCATCCGTATATTCCCTGATGAATGTCGGAGTTTTTGAAATTCAATCCAGTTTATTCCATACAAATGAAATGAATGTCGGAAAAAAAAATGCGTTTTGAACATGATAAGGCAATGCTCGGGAATAAAGATTCGAATAATGTGGTGTAAAGCGAGTGGTGACACCAAATTTGTATACTATTTTTTACCAAATACAAGGCTCGTGTTGAGTTATTTGAATGGTTGTTGTAACAAAAAGGTAGTTGCAAAATTTTTATGCAATATTTAAATCCTAAATATATTTTGGATTAAGAATATGAATTTTTACAAACATTTCATCTCATTTTGCAAGGGCTTACTAGTAAACCGTTTGATATCTAGTTAGGCGACAGCCACCCTTGCGGACAAAATACATAGATTACCCCAAATATACCATATTAAATAAAAATGTAATGTCTGTAAAGTAATCAAATCAGTCTTGCTGGTGAAACTTGGGTCAAATTTGGCATACACCTATTCACTCGCTTGCATCAGAGTTTCCTTTGCGCCTTGTTACTTCAAATACAACGTTGCTCTGCTTCAAAAAGTTGAGTTATTAAGGATGAAAAGACAGTCTTTCAAGTGGTTTGTCTGTAGACAATATAACAGGAAGGAAGTAGTGAAGAGATATAGAGCGTTGTTTAATCAACTTTTGCCTGTAGACAGTAGAGGCTGTCGACAGTGAGTCATGGAAAGATTGAACATTTTTTACAAAAAAATTATCGGTGGGGAAAACAAAAAAAAGAAATATCAAGTTTTACTTTTTTTTTTATCTATTTTTTTTTAAATCTAAATCTATATTTCATGGATTATCTATCTAATATCTATCTATTTCTATCTAATCTATCATTTTCATTATCTATCTATCTATCATCTCAAGCAGCTGTAGCAAAAAAAATTACCCAAAGACCTCGGAATTACACTATGAAAATATTCATAAATCTTCGTATACAAAGCAAAACAATGCTAAATTGATTCCTCTTTACAGATTGTCTTTCAGGATGCATTACAAACGTCTATGACAAACAAAGACTTCACTTACAATTTTGATATCTAGTTAATCAGAACATTTTCAAACAGCAAACCCGTTTTTTTATAATGGCTTCTACCAATTAAAATGAAATGAATATAATGAACGTTACATTAGAATCAGTTTTGTTATAGAATATCAAATATACTATGGCATAATTAAAAAAATTAATTCAGATTGAAAATAATTTGCAATTTATTCCTCCATTTGTAACATCGTTGTATATAAATGTTAATTTTAGGAATTAAAGAAACAAAAAAAAAAAAAAAAAGAATTTTCTAACGTTCGTAATCAAATCAGTGTGTCGTGTTTTTGAATTGCAACATATTAAAATCCGATATCTTAGAGTTCTGAAATTCACTGCTAAATTCTAAATGAAACTTGGGTCACGTATTAAACCTTATTTTGCACGTTCGTCAAAAAAAAAAGCATTGGTGTTTCTTTTCATTCCTCAGGGATTCACGAATTATCAATTTGCTTGCATCAGATTTGTTTTTCTCCTTTTTCAGTAGCGAACCAGCGTTCCTGCAACTGTTAGGAAGTAAGTCTCTGTCTCTAACTTGACTCTAGGCATCACTCACTAACAAAAAGCAGCCCCGACATGCCCTCAAACATCACGAAAAAAAAAACGTTGACAAAGACGTCGCTTGGTATTCAAAAAAATCATTCAACTGCCCATTCAGTTAAACACGATGCTAATGGCGAAAAAATTATGGGATGGACTTTCAGGATGGAAAAGACAATCTCTTTTCTATGAAGGATAAATAAAATCAAACTTTGATAAATCCTACTAAAGTATTGACTTGATAAATGTGAATCGAAAACTTGTTTGTCTGTATTAATATAAGTATATTAATATAAAAATACAGGAAAAGGATATTAATATAATTTATAAAGGATATTAATATCGAAAACGTTGTTTTTTGTGGAGAAAAGACTTAAAACAGCAGAATTGTGAAATCCTACAAAAAGATCTTAAGAATATCATGAGAGTATGTTTTAAGAAAAATGGGAAAGAAAAAGACATTTCAGTTTATGATCCGGCTGTATCTAGGACAGTTATTTATGAAAGTGAACTGGAAAAATTTAAAACACATATGGTGCATGTACAAGCTACATCAGTTTTAACAAAAAAAAAATTATCGGTGGGAAAACAAAAAGAAAATGGTGGTAGTTTTATTTTCTCTCTGTTTTTTTTTATCAAGAGTATCTTTTATCTATCAGTTATGTATCTATCTATCTATCTATCTATCTATCTATTTCTTTCTGCAGTAGACCAGTTGCCATCAAGGCTATAGAACCGGTTCATTATTTATCTATTCTATTTCTCATCACGTATGAATATCATTTATGTGCCATGCGTGCTACGCTATCTATCTTTCGATCTATCTGATCTTTTTCCCGCATAGGTTGCTTTCTTTCTGCGGTATTGCCATCAAGGCGATAGAATCCGGTCTGTCCTCATTATCGATATTCATACCTTTCCGAAGGATATCTATCTATCAGTATTTATGTGCCATTCAGGATCTATCGATCATCTGATTGTCACGAAGGTTTTTCCCGCAGTATGTTGCCATTTCTTTCTGCGGTAGTTGCCATCAAGGCTAAAAAATATCCCGGGTTAGTGAAGAAGAGAATTTACCTTTCAAAGGTCAAGATGAACCTCGTTATCCAAAATGTGATGGAGTCGACAGTTCGAACTCAGCTCTCCGATTCCAATCACTTTTACTACTCTACAGGAAAATCTGAAACTTCAACAATTCAGCCAATAAATCGTTTAAATTTATTTGCCTTTATTATTATTAACAACTTCCTTGTCCAGCTCAGTGTACGACGTACCTCAAAAATTTCTAAAACATGTTGCCTCGTATAACAAGAAGTATAGGTCTGATTCTGAACGGAGTTTAAACTATTTAGGGAGACATTAGAAACACAGGGTAAAGTGTTTCATGTAGAAATCGATTGATTAGTCGTTTCAAATTTCAGGTTTTCTAGAATTTCCAAAGCTAGTTTATGGTTCACATAAAAATATTCTAATGTTTTGTCTTCTTCTCCGTATGCAGCCATTCTTTATCATTCAACCTGTTTTTAAAAATCCACTGATGGATACATGAAACGAAGTAACGTACCATCTTCAATAAAAACTACCCTGAATATTTCCTCATTCAATTTCAGCGGTTTAGTTATTTATTTATTATTTTTATTATTATTATTATTTTCTTTGATTTCACACATTTCTTTCAGAGATGCATCATACACAAATTCGTTTCTGGTATACATTTCTTCGTTAGACATTTTATCTTGACATTTTCACAAAGTTTTTAAAAAAATAAGAAAAAGAATCTTCACATTTACATAAATATAATTATATCGATTTCTTTACGCATGGCCTAGATTAAAAATCTAACAACTGCGCTAACTTCCCGGCCCGTGGGAAACAAAATGTCAGGAATAATATTTAAACTAATCTGTTTGATTAATTCCTCTTAGTTTCAAGTAAGATGAACAAGATCGTTATCATATTAAGTACGTTCCAGTTTCATGCCTTCCCGGTGCTGACGTTTCATTTGTTTTGAAGCTCTCAATACCTGGACATTCGTTCTTTCATTACAAGACTAGAAATGATTTTTTTTGTTGTTTTATATATTTTTATACTTGAAAAAAATTGTTTAAGTATAACTTGAAGAGGACAGACATTGTCTTGAAATAAGGTTTAATATTGGCAAATTTTGTGTTTTCTTTTCTTAAATAGCGCTATTCACTAATGTGTTTTTAGAAAAGTTACATTAATCAATTTTTATTATTATTATCTTACTAATTATAAAACGAAATTGTTGTGTGTGTGTGTGTGTGTGTGTGTGTGTGTGTGTGTGTGTGTGTGTGTGTAACAATATTGGATCTTTTCAACCGATTTCAACAAAACTTTTTTCTAACAGCATAAAACAGGAAAAATATAATTGTTTTGCACAAAATCAATTTGAAAACACGATTAAGAGACATCGTGAAAATGGAAGGGGACAACTCATCGGATTTTCTATTTTTTCAGCCGATAAAACAAACTTTTTTTTTTTTGCAGGTATTTTTTATTCTCTCGCACACTTTTTCTTTATTTTAACATACAGAATGTTTTAAAAATTCCATTTACAAGACAATTATTTATAATAAAATTCTATTCAATTGGGAGACTCATAACGATTGAAAACAATGTTTTTGTTTGAGTTTGGGTTTGACCAATTCGTAAAAAATAAAAAAAATAAAAACTAATTAAGACATGCGTGTCCGTCAACCTTAAACAATAATCTAACGATCTCTACTGATTGTACGAATACAAACATCGGAATAAATTCTTTATCTTTAGGGAAAGATAATGAAATCTAAACACACACAAGTCCTAACTAAAAATAATAACCGGAACGGGAAACTACTTTAGTTTAAATACACATGGTGCCCAATTTTTTTACTGTATTCAATAAGTAAAAATCATAAATTGTAAAAGATTATTATTACAGAAAGGCTACTAAATGAATAAGATTTGTTACATCATAATTAATAAACCCAAATAAAGTTAATATTTTTTGTATTAGAAACAACGAGTGGAAAATATATTCAAATCAGAATTCTAATTATGAATCTCCACAAGCAAAATATGCAATTTTTTTTTACTGTATTCAATAAGTAAAAATCATAAATTGTAAAACTAAAAGATTACAGAAAGGCTACCTACATTTCTCAACCGATTTCAACAAAACTTCACTTTTTCTTTTGGCATGTAGTGTTTCTTATTGTCTTGCACACTTTTTTCTTTATTTTTACATTCAGAATGCTTTAAAAATTCCATTTACAAGATAATTATTTATAATAAAATTCAATCGGGAGACTCATAACGATTGAAAACAATGTTTTTGTTTGAGTTTGGGTTTGACCAATTCGTAAAAAATAAAAAATAAAAAAAAACTAATTAAGACATGCGTGTCCGTCAACCTTAAACAATAATCTTTGTCAATTTTATTTTTCAGTCTTTATGATGGTCGATACTTGATCTATCTCTTACTGTTACATCCCGACTTCTCTCCTTGTTTTATATCTCTATATCAAACTTTTGTAAACAAAATTCAGTTGATTTCTCAGCTGAGATGTTTGACTCTAAATGCATATTCTTAGCGGCACCTGTTCCATTATATCACACCTCCATTATATAAAATCGTCAAATGAAAGGCCTTCTATACTTACGGAAAACATTGAGGTAAAAAGTAATAGAATTGAATGAAGTATTTATTTATTAAATAACCAACTAATAATAGACGTTTGAAGAATAAAATAACAGAAAGTATGTCATTAACGCTAAAACACTAAATGTCAGTCAACAAAGAAAATGTGTCGTTTTATGTTTAATAATAACATTTTTCTTTTTCTGTTTTTGTTTATGCTTGAGTTTTTCTTGACACCTTCTTAATTTAATATTTTTGTTTACCAAAAAAAACAGAACATTGAATAAAAATCAATTGTTTTTCCCATTATATTCACAAGAAGACATTGTTTTGAACTCAGAATTATAGGCAATTTTATTTCCTTGCGTGTCTCTCTTGCTCGTAATTGTTTCTTAGTTTCTTTATTCCAGTTCTGGAAAGAAAAGAAAAAAATAAAATAAAATAAAACGTTATCTTTCCACACGAGTCATTCAATCAATATTGAAAACAATGGACCGTTTTCACTTCAAACGTTATCCGTCACCCTCAACATTTGGATTGTCAATGTTCATCACTTGTCTATTTTTGGCGAAACATTTTCTTTTTCTTTTTTTCTTATCTGTCTTTATTTTTATTGAATATTTATTTGTTATATTTGCTATCCTTTTCTTCTTACTTTTTTTTCTTGTCTTCTTCCCGTTATTCGCATTAGCCTTGTCGCTTTCAGCATTCACTTCCCTCCCATCGTTCTTTTCTTTTCTTTTTTCTTTTTTTCAGGTTTAATGTCTCCAACATTTCTGTCGTTTTCTTTCTCTTCATCTACATTAATCTTTTCTATCTCCATGTTTGTCTTTTTTTTCATCTTTTCTACCGATTGCTACTTTTTTCTTTTTCATCTCCGTTTTTTCATCTTTTATGCATTTTTTTCTCTTCATCTCCGTTTTTTCATCTTCCTTTTCATTTTTTTCTTTAACATTTCATGCCCTTCTTTAGAAATGTGGAAAATAATTCAGTCCCCCAATAAGGGGGGCGTAAACGATTTTTGAAGGCTGGAGAATGAGGATTGAGTAATTCTAGCTGAACTGCTGGTAAATGAAATCACGAAATGTAAAGCCGTTATTATTCATCGATATTGTAGATTATCCGAACAGGTTTCTTGAGAACTCCAATTTTCCAACAATTCGTATTTATCTTTCTTAAATTATATTTTAATTTCTTCTTTTACAGCAGCAGCATCCAATTTCACCATTATTATTGCTGGTTATGAGTGTTTCCAGAACTAGAATCACGTAGGCTTATGACCGTTATCACGTTGAAACAGTGGTTATCGTACAATCACCATCGTGCTTGGCCAGTACCTAGATGTGTGACCGCTATCGAATAGAATGTGCTGTAAGCTTGGATATGCCGGTGGTGTAATGGATAACAACCTGAAATTAGAAATCGGGGAGCGAGTTCAAACTCAAGTCGGGTTTAATATATTCGCTCATACTGAAATGCATTGAGAGGAAGAATAGATACAGTTTTTCTCCTCCAAGCTATAGATAAATGATTAGGCCTTGTCCTTGTAAATCGTTATTATATCTATAAAATTCTTACAATCTAAAAATATTTTTCTGGCTTTAAATAACTTGCATGAGGTTGATAAGCCGTAAAAACAATTCAATCAATCAATGCAGTCATATTTTGAAATAACCTCGTCAGATACAGATTTTTGTATGGATGTCATGCATGGCATGCCATGCTCATTGTGAAATGTCTAAATGGATACAACTGCTTAGTGAAAAAATCACTTCTGAGAGAATAAACCCAGTAAGTCATGCAAAAAAAGTCCTCGTTGATTGACGCTACATAATCACAAAAAAATCTCTAACAGAATTCATCATCATCTTGCAGCCTCAGCCGAGATTGAACTCACTACACTTTTCCAGTATTCCTTATCTGTCACAACTAATACTTTGATTGGTGTAGTTCATAATCTTATCAAATAGCTGAATTCTTGATGCTTCGCTAGGGCTATCAAGGGTGTTTTTATCGTGACACCATCACTAAATGGATTGCCGACCAAGGCTTAGAGAGACTCCATTCACACTCCTCTAAGAGCAGGTTTGAATTCAGAGTTTTTCTTCTCCTAGACCAGTTGCCATCCAGGGCTATAGAACACAGTCTGTCCTGCTATTTACCCATAGCTGGAGGGAGAAGAAGAGGAGGATTCACCTTTCCCAAGGGTATTAGCACGTAAGTGAATGGTGATTCGACTGGAATTCGAACTCGGCTTTCCGATTCCTCAATCCAAGCCGCTATCCATTACTCCACCGTGCCTCCTCAACAGAATACAAAGACCACATCACATGTCCTATCGTCATATCCATTTTGTTATTGCTTTTGTTGAACAACAACAAAAACAAAATGGACAGAACGAATAGAAAATGACTTAAAATATTGTCCTTCTATACTAGTGAAAACAAAAGGTTGGTAAAGAAGCCCCCACCCCTAATAAGAAATGGGAAGAACACTAACTGTAGACGGGAGCAAACTGTAATTTAAAAAAATATTTTAATATGAAGATTTTAAAAATTTCAACCTTGAGTTGCAAAGGCTTTTCAGTAAATGTATTTTCTTCGGTTAATATTATAGTTGCTTTTAGAGATGATGGAAAATATACAGGGTGTTTTAAAATTCTGTGTCACATTATATAATAATATATAATAATAATATAATTATTAGGTATATCAAAATACAATTTATATTTCTTGAAAGCTAATATTGCCATGTTTCTATACAGGTTTTTTTTACAGTTGTTCAATGTGAGCGCTGCCGGTTACACGACACATATCTAAAAGATAATCCAATTCTTGTCAAACGCTACCAAGCATAGCGTTGTCGATGGTTGCCATGGCTTCAGTCATTCGCGCCATCAGATCATTTACGTCTCTGAGAAGGGGAGTTACGTACACGAGACCTTTCATATAACCCACTAGAGGAAGAAGTCACATGGCGTAAGGTCTGGAGACCTAGGTGGCCATCATAGGACCACGCAGTCAGTCTGTCCGGAACGACAGACCCATCCGTCAGGCAGAGTGGTGTTCAGATAATGTCTAAGTTAAATTTAATATATTAAATTAAAATTAAATTAACAGAAGAAAACTTGGCACTTTCAGGTTTTAAATGATACCAGTTTAATTATGCTACCTTGAACATTTCATGATATAAGTGTTCTTAGAACGCAACATAGACTTTTGAAACACTCTGTACTACAATTTGACACCAGGCCAATTGCTTGGGAGTTGTGCTTTTAGGAGGGCAAAACAACTTTTTTTGTCTTTTTTTTTTTATTCTCTTTCTTCTGTCCCTGAAGTTGCTTAAGACTTGATCAACCCTCCCACCAACTAATATTTCATTGACTCATATAGCCACTTTTCTACCCACAATTCCCTGTTTTTCTAATGGTACTGTGAATATGAGCGCACGATTGCGCAAGGAAGAGATCCGTCGAGGTTCCGATCGTTGCATTAAGGAGGTCGATATCACGCAGGGGGGCGTACTCTGAGGTCGACCAAGGACATGTGCGAAGCGTTTCCGGGGGCATTTCGCGAACCGATTTAACAAGGAGCATGGCCCCTGTGGCGAAGAGTTTCGCAGCTATTTGGCTGACTTTTCTCGACTTTCGTTTACTGAAGTGACTTGACGGTGGGATCACAGAGGGCAAAGTTCACTTGATATTTAAAATTATCAACAGTGGCGAGTCTCCGAGATTTGATGCTCTGCCTTTCCAATTGTCCTAGATCTTTGTTCCGATTTTGACCGTCGTCTTTATTAAGTGCTTCTGGCAAGGGTTCGGCTCCGACCAGATCTCCAAGGGTGTGATCACGTTGTTGAAAAAAAGAACAAAATGGTCAGCTGGATTTAGATAAATACATATCTATAACTATGATAAACACAGACTTAAAGATTTGAGCCAAGATTTTGACAGAGTGTTTGCAGTCACTTGCAGTCACATAATTTTGGGACCCGAGCAGACTTGTGCTGTGAAGGGACGGACAATTCAAAGCAATCTGCATCTTATCCGCGCGACCTTAGAGGAAGTAAAAGACGACAATCTATCCGTGCTGGTCAATTTGAATTAGTCCAAGGTGTTCGAAAGGGTTGACCATCAGTACGCGGCTGTTATCTATTGTAATATTAGCCATTTCCTTATATGGAAGCATTCGACATTCATTGACCGCGTAGAAAATGTTACTCGAGTTACTCATCATTCATGTAAAAGAACTGTTTTTTTTATTGCTTATATTTTATAAACAATTGCGGCACAAGGCCAAAAGGGATGTGGAGGAATTACTGGTCATCCTCAACCTAGCTAATCAGATTCACGACCCATCCATCCATTACAGCACAATACTACATCTTCAGAGAGGATCTAAAAAATCCCCATGACACAAACATTTTATAGAGTCAAAATTTCGTAATTTTTTTAAAATTAATTTTTCAATTCGTTCTTCTAAAAATATATAAACAAATTAAATACATGAAACTATGGAGAGGGGATGAAACTATGGAGAGGGGATGAAACTATGGAGAGGGGATGAAACTATGGAGAGGAGATGAACCCCAAAAACGAAACTAAAAATAACACAGCATCAAACTAAAATAAAAAATGTTAGAAGGTCCCGTCCACCCCACAAAAATAAGATCGACCGCTGTATTTCGCCTATAGGCGGAACGAAGAAGTACTCTCACTAAAGGCATATGTGATGGGCAAAATTAATTACAGGACTGCAGAAATATCAATAGTCTGACCCAGACTAGATAAAAGGAGCCCCAAAACAAATTGGGGAGGTTGGGAATCTCGACATGGATCATATGAAAAGAGAAAAGCGGGAAAAGGTCGAGAACACCAATTACTCATATTAATTCGGTAAACAAAGAAAGTTTACCATATCAGTGATATCTTCGAACAATTGTATTTTCTTTGTGTTACAAAGATTTTCTTTTACAGTTTTTACATGGTGACGTTTTTTTCATACAAAGTTGACCGGTCCCCATATACGGTTAGTGTCGACAACAAGGGATCTTCACAATTTTCCCAAGTGCAACACCCGAAAAGATTTTGGTTGACAATAGAGGCAGGATTCCGCGGTTTGATATCTTCGACGCCATTAACCTGCCTTCTGGACATATCTTCTGCGGGTTGAATGGAGTTCAGGCAGACATATCACCAATTGGTCTGATCAGCTAACTTCTTTGATTTGGTTAGGGTAGAACGAGGTATTTCAAAATTGATCTGCTGGTCATATTATGCAACCCGGTAAAATCTGCTGTGTGATATTTGGAGAGGAGATCAGTGCTTCCAAGTAATTCCATTGTTTCGAAAGATGCCAGAAAAACTGGACCTAAAATTGTACTTGACTCAAATATAGCCCGAATTGATTCAATTTTTAGATGCTGTTTGTTTTTATTATTTTAGATCTCTTTGAGAACCGAGGAGGATAAAGTAAAAATTCAGGAAAAAAAAATCATGAAATGATATCTAGGGAATCATTAATAATAGTTGAATGATTAAACGGCCAAGTTGAAGGTTTGTTTTTGATGCTGGAGCTGGTCTTTCCTTAAAAAACGTGCAATCAAAAATGATAGAAAAATAAATATAATAATCAAAATTATTTAACCTTTTAGATTTTTTTATTAGTATGAATTATTCAATGATGAAACGTTCGAATTTTCATTCACACCTACATATTCACTGACATTTTTCTATTATTATTATTATTATTATTATTATTATTATTATTATTATTATTATTATTATTACCCAGGGTCTGGAATGCATGTTTTGGCAACCAGGAAGAATTAGTTTTGACAGTTGAAAACTCAAGGCTAACATCCGGAACGAAATAATAGAAAAGCCACTTTTTTTTCCTGCAAATCCTTTGATTGGAAATGTTTTTTTTTCTTTAAATATATTTTATCGGTTTA